AATTTAAAAATGAAACCGAATTTAATTTAAAGTAATCTTTATTTCTTGTTTAGTGAAAATCCATTATACGATGCAGTCCATTTACCGGAATTTAAAGGACAATTATGTCGTGTTACGAAAGCAACTGAAATTGGAATTCTAATTCTATTATCATTATTAACTTTTGATGCATATGTTTATCATTTTGAAAAAGTAACTTATCATTAGAACATTTTTCTTTTATTTCAAGATAAAGAAATCCGTTTCTAAAACGAGAATTTAGAATCAATACATGTGTTTGAAATAAGTTTACTTCAGTAGACATTGAAATTCTATGATAATATACAAGAATAAATAATCTCGATTTATAAAGCGACATCAATGCAACTGAGTACTTTATAATTGTTTAAGAAATCTTATCGACATGATTTCATTTGATATTCAACCTTTGCAATATCTCGATTGACTAACTCAATTAGTAACCTACGCACATCTATTAAGTCATTAATAAGACTAAGAGATAATTAAATATCTAGCGATATCCTTTTTTCTGTAGATATCTTCATATTTAAATAAAAATAAAAATGAACAATGAGAAATAAATTTTCATTCTAAAAACTAAAATGGAAGATAATAATGATGATTTTCTATTCAATGGCTTATTTTCCCCAATTGAAAAAATCTTCGTTGATTTCGATTGACTTTTCTCCAGTTTCCCAACTACAGAGTTTCAATGTAACAAAAAAATGAAAAGTTATTCTAAAAACGAATTTTCTTAAATTAATATCGTTTGTAGATAATCATCATGGTGATGAAAATCTTGACTCTACTATAGAAAAACATGATCTTAATGAAGCATTTCCAAGAACTTTTATAATAACAACAATGAAACGAGAAACAACACCATCGGGAAGATGCGTTATTGAAAAACAAATTCAATAATCATCAAATCAAAATGAAAATATACAAAACTGAAACAATGAGTAAAATATGTGGAGATACACATCATTCAACAGTAAAACAAGATGGTAAAATAATTCGAGAATATGGAAATGCAACAATGAATGAATTAAATCAAATTGATAAAGACATTCGGATTTTTTTAAAAAGCTTTTTTTCTTAAATAAAAGTTTTTTGTTCAAATGATCTACTAAAAATAAATGAAAGAAAATATTATTCGACTTTGTTTTTTTTTGTTTTGAAAAAAAAACATGTAGTTGTCTCCCTGTTTTTTACTTAATATATTTTATTTTTTCTGCT